GAACGACAGAATGAGATACAAACAAAACATGTGTGTTGCCATATGCGAGGGCTGAAAGGACTCGCAACCCATGGAGCAGGACCTTCATTCAATGTGCCTGGATACCCAGAAGAATCTTGTCTTCTTCGGCTCGCACATTTTTTTCATGAGATAGCTAACCCATTGCCCCACGGTCCGAGTAGAATCGGTGCGTGGCCTTATTACAGCGCTGACCCTTTGAATCGCTTCCCTTGTACAGACCTCCGAATTATACACAAATATCGCACGTCAGGGTGAAGATTGTTGTTCTATTTCAAGCTTTCATCTGGCTGATCTACACTAGACACCCAGGGCGGAGCTGACCTCCCCTTGATTTGACAGCAAAAAAAACTTCACAGTCCAATTAAGAGCAGCCCTGGCTCTGATAAAGGGCTGACCATTCGACCGTTTACCTTGCATAAGCCCGCAAATTATACGCAAGTGTCACAATTCAGGGTGAAGAGTCTCGCTTCATTTGGGCATCGCTGGCTGGTCTGTAGGGCGTGCTCAGTTTTGAGAACTCCTGTTTGAAGGACCTACACTCTTCTCCAACATGTGACACGACCGACAAGCCTAGTACAGCTTTGTTCCCTGCAGCTAATGGGATATGTCGGCATAGTTGGGTTCGGCACACCGAAAATCCGTTTTTCACCAGTTACTGAAGCGGGTAAGTGACTACGATTGGTGGAAAACGACTGATGCGAACGATGTGATACAGTCTTGGCGTCGTGGCGCATTCTTGGAATCGCGGCGCATTCTTGGGAATACTCCTGCAGCTCCCACCCTCTTTGCATCTTTATATCATTGCCCTTCTTTTCAGCGGAGCTCGATAAGCAGACAGTCTCGAACAAGTATGACACATTGAAAATCCTTCTTGATCGGCTACAGCAAATGGAAACACGCAAGAAAGCAAATAGCACCAGAAGAGGTCTTATTTTCTCTACTATCCCTGTTATTCTATTACTATTTGCTCTCGATTACTGTGAGATCTTCCACTTCGAGGCACAGCCATCTCACGGTCCGGGGGGGAACAGCGCTCCATTTACACAATGCGCACTGTCTTCTGCCCATTCGATCAGCGTAGAGTATGTCTTTTAGTGAGAGCCTATCGTACTGTGCACGTGGGCGATACTATCTGACATTGCTCACAATCCTTATTCATGTGTAAAGATGGGATTAGCCAGTGAGAAGTCAGGACCCAAGGAGGGCGCATAACAGCGATGAAAGACATTCCCGCCCACTCACATACTCTGAGCCACCACTTGCGTCAAAAAAATGGGCTATGATTGGTTATCTCAAATTGCCTTTCAGCTCATGATATACCGTTAGCTGAGGAGGATAGAGTCTGGCTTACCAAAATCGCCGAATCGGATAGAAAAGGTGACTGAATTCTATTTCCGTTCACATTTGAGGTTCCCTCCAAATGTGACTTTCTCAGATTCAAACGAGATCCATTTTCGGATATTGAAAACGCAAAGATAGTGAGGAAATCCAACTCCACTTCTCAGAAAGCGTCTCACAGCGACTCCGATTTGAGAGAGGAGGAAACTAGCGGCAGTGGAGCTCAAGAGTCAGAAGAAGGCGTGGGAATCGTTTTGTTTTTGAAATAACTTCTGCTTTGGTTCTGAGAGTTATTTATAGCTAATCCGTGAGGAGCAGCCCGTCACTAGCCATGCACTGAAGGAAAAAGAGAACATACGTGGCCACGGTAAGTGAGGAATACTTCATTGAAATTATTGCTGAAGTCTCTCTAGTCTACTCGAGAACCGCGTATGTGGCAGGTTAGAAAGAAATCCCGCAATCATTAGCTGGAATAGAGGGATTCAAATATGATTTTGCAGGTGCTTGTTAAAAGTTTGAAAAAAAGCAGAAAAAGGCCAAAGCGCCCTGCATAAGATTCCCTTGAAACGGTTACCTGATGGGTGGAATCATTTCCATGTGCTGTTGATCCCTTCCACAGAGGATGCCCCACCTTCGCTGCTCTCGGCTTATGACGGCATTAGTACGCTTTGCACTAACTGTTGTGCCGGAAGGTGGGGCCACGCAGACAAGCTGGAACGCAAAGGTGGAGCAACCTGTCTATAAGGGAACAAGTTGTGGTCGTGCTCCGCTTGTCTAGGTGTTTTTTTCACCTTTCATTTCCGGATTTTTCCCACGTAACAGTGTTTCGCTTCTTCGAATACCCCTTCCCCAATGCTGAAGCCTTATTTCGGGCGTCTTTGACGACTCTACTGCGAGAGAAGGTAGGCAAGGAAGAGAAGAGAGAGAGAGGAGAGAGAGAGAGAGAGAGAGAGAGGGAGAGAGAAAGTCGACTGAGACGACAGACACGAGCAACTGCCAGTCAGGTTCATCTCAATATGGGGCTTCTCCTGGTGGTGGAGTCTCCACAGAGCGCCCTTGTCGCTCACTTTCGTGTAGGAAAGGTGGTGCTGCCTCTGTGACTGCTTTGTACAGGGTTGGCATTACACGTCGTGGGTAAGCGGGATATGTCTTTAGTTTTTGCCAAATCGCTCAATTTGTGCTTTTTATGGGTTGCGTTACTATCGTTAGGGCCACCGCTCACTATAATAGCATTCAAAAAGGGTCAGGAAATCTATACGGCTCATAAGATGCATATTTTCAACGCGCATTCCCTTATCATTTGTCTGGTATTCGTGGATATGAAGGGTCATGAATTTTTGAAAGATTTAGGAAAGAAGGACACAGAGAGTTGTGTGACTTTAGATCTGGTTTTTGATATCGCAAAAAAACCTTTTCGCTCACGAATAATTTCGCGGTATGAGGCACACATAAATTAGTGATGGATGTTTCGAAGAGGAGGGAGCAAAGGGGGGTCAGACAGGCAGGTTTAGAACGACATTATCGAAGTGCATTACTACTGCTTTTCCAAGAGCCGTCCGTCTTGTGAAACTATTACGAGTGCCCTCATTATTTTTTTCTCAACACAACTGGATATACTCATGATGACGCTTCTAATCAAGACCACATATTTTTGCAGTAGAAGAAGAAACAGATGAAAGCCATCCACCTCGTCAAATCGCTGAAGATACGGAAGAAGTTGCTCGCGTTCGTGGAAAAAGTGAGAGTTATTGCGACCAGTACGAACAGCACTTTTCCTTCTACTGTATCGGAGACACCGATCATACTGGACAGCATGAAGCGGTTAGTTCCTGGAAGCTGTACCGATTTTTTCCAGCTGCAGGATCGTCTTCACAATGATCGAGGGAATTTCTTTTTTTTAGGAAATTTCGAAGTTCTGCCCGGCATACAAAGCCGCGTGTGCTCACAAGCGAATCACGTACGTTTATCAGTTTCGGATAATCCTGGTGAACGAAAGTTAAGAGGAAGAAAAACAAGCCTAAATGCGCCTTCCTAACAGCTGAATCAGTCCACGAAACCTTACTGTTTCTCCCTCCCCTGCACGGAGACTCGTAGTGTCGGACTTGGAGCCCCTGATTGGGCTGCGATGGACTAAGATAACGTGGACATCCGCGGACGTCGTGCCGGCAAATGTTTTAGCGCTGCTTAGTTTGCCGACTGTAGCAGTAAAACGAAGCAAGGCAGTAGGCAAGACACAATCTCTCCCATCTCTTTAGTACTGAACATCAAACAGCCGGGCAAGACAACTCGTCTCTCGTGAGCGCGGCATATTACGATTGTCTTGTTACACACCCGTTCTTTTTAAGAAAGGGAGGGGCATTCCCACACTTCTAGCTGTTCTGTCGTTGTAACTTCCTTTTGGATTACATGCCTCACCGCATGACACCCTTCAAGTCCTGGAAGAACTAATATTGCGTTTTTCAATTTTTTCGACACATATCTTTGCGCTGTTCGTTCTACTTATTTTATCTATTCACTATTTCAGTTCATCAGTTTCGCTGACAGCTTGGCCAAGGGATCCATTCAAGAAAAAGGTATCCTCCCGTGCTTCCGTAAAAGAATCAAGTGAGTCGTCTGAAGAAGATAGCGAGGAATTGACATCTGAAGAAGAGCTGTTTGAAAGAAGAGAGGCGTACATCAAAGAACTCAAGGTTGCTTTTTCACTTGTTACCTACTTTAGAAGTGATTTTCCACAGTGATCGCTGGGTGGAGTCAGACCTGCCAATTTGCTTCATTCACTGGTGCGCCTATTTCTGGGACAGCAAGGAGTACAGTCCTCATCATTGCGGACTGTCGGGGCGGCTGAGCCGCGCTGCACTGTGACGCGACAGCGGCTGCGGCTCGGTGACGGCGAATCAGCTGATTTCCATGGAATTCGGCTGCGAATTCCCACTTTTTCAGCTCTTCAAGCTTCGAAAGTGGAAGGTGAGTTATTTTGAACAATTTTAAATTGTACTGGCTCTGAATGAATCTGAAAGAATGCAAGCCATTTGAATAAATGCCTGAAATAAGGCAAAATACAAGGAAAAGAGCATAATAATCGACATAAAAATAAAGGAAATCAGAGCCAGTACAATTCAAAATTGTTCAAAATAACTCACCTTCCACTTTCGAAGCTTGAAGAGCTGAAAAAGTGGGAATTCGCAGCCGAATTCCATCGAAATCAGCTGATTCGCCGTCACCGAGCCGCAGCCGCTGTCGCGTCACAGTGCAGCGCGGCTCAGCCGCCCCGACAGTCCGCAATGATGAGGTGCACGTCTGCGAAGAAGGCACAATGGTATGATAGACTCTGCAAATCCCACGCGATCGGCCGTGCCTCCAGGGATTTCACTACTCTTCGCTACATGGCTGGTGCTGGTTTATAGCACTGTATTACTTCAACAAAAAAAATTACTTTTACAGCGCCGTATCCCATGTAAGCCGGACTGCGATAGTCGATTCTACCCGCACTGTACAGCAGAATGTAAATGCGACTATCTCTATCCAGCAGTTCAACGATTCTGCAATCCTCCACCAATGCCCCTTTTCCTGAACACGTGCAGGTGCGTTTACTGTTTGTATTGCTGTATTAATGTTGAAGCGATGTGGTGTAGTGGGAAGTGGCACGCTCACCATGCGGCCTAGGGATCAAATCTCGGAGCGGCTCCTGCAC